TAAACTTACATATTAATATAAGGCATCTAAGCAGAAAATTATTTTTCTTTAAAAGAAATATATTCTTAGAAGAAAAATCTATGTATTTTAATATAAACGTCTCTAATTAATTGACCACGACTTCATATTTAAAAGGCTTCGTATATTATATTTTGTGAAATAAAAATATAACAATATCAAATGTTCATAGCAATAAATGAATTTCGAGAAAGCAAACAAAACACTCAAATGAATGATTCCTTTGATTTTAACATCAAAGTAGGTATGAGGCGATGAAATTTAAGCACTTTCTTATTATAGAATGACACAAAATTGAAATAAATTCGCAATAAAGATTTAAGTCAAATTTCAAGTATCTATGCCATTATAAACAGTCACCTAAAATTAGTGTACTGTAATGAATTCATGCTGATTTGTCTTTATTATAAGAGGTATATATGAATACTAGTGATTCACCCTCGATTTGCTCGGGTTCCTGGGTACGTTTTTAAAGTTAGTATAGAATAAATTTACTATATATTATATATGATAAATAGTCTATAGCCTTCCTCAATAAACGCGCTATCTAATGCAAAAAGTGTTTCAAATCGGATTAGTAGTTCCTTAGACTAGCGCGTTCAAACAAACAAACTCTGCCTCTTTAAATTTTAGTATAGATAATATTATATTTTATACAAAACTCAAAACAAAAAGAAAATGTAGATATACATATATAGTACCTATTTAGATTACAATAATATAAAGAAATAAAATTTTCTTTGGTATCTTTAAGAAAAGACGAGGGTTCACAAGGTATGAGAAAATTTAATAGAAAAAAGATATTCTTTCATCCCAAAATAGTTTGCGGTTTTGCGCATAAAAAAATCCACTATGAAAGTGGATTGAAATCAAATAATAAAAGCAAGTCAGACTTGTATGAAGGAATTTTCCACACGTTATTCATTCTTTTAAATATTAATTAAAAAACATCGATGTTAATGAAAGTTAAACATGAAAAATCGATTAATAAATACTAGCGGCTCACCCTCGCTTCGCTCGGGTTCGTCCCTTATACGTTCGTCCCTTGTACGTCATATAGGTATGATGATAGCGTGTTTTCACATGGGAATGAGATAATTTTTTTGAGATTATCGTTTCATTTCATTTGTTTTGACGTGAAAGAAGGACAAACAAACATACTTTCACGCTTATAATAGTAAGTGTGGATATTAACTTAGTAAATGATCACATGCTTTTTAATAATAAAAGCCAAGACGACAATAGACACTTGGATGTATCACATGGAGACCTTCAGTTTGATAAAGATTTTATTCATGTATCATGTAAAATTTAACACTATAATCATAACCGTAATATGTCTGCTATAAATATAAAACACATTTTCTTGTAAATATTACATAAATATTACAAGATGACATCGAAAAAACATTTGATTGGCAGGAAAAGGCGCGTGATTATAAAAAAGGCATTATAATGAAAGAGCAATTTATCACGAGATTGTGTCACGTGATGTGAATTAAAACTCTTCGGTTGGTCTCGTATAGCTTAATGATCAGAAAACTTAGGGCTTTGCGAGCTATTTTCTAATATAAGAAAGGAATAAATTAACTGTTCAGTACTATATCTGCGCGCACTACTATACTCGTATCTAGTATTTTTGCGAACAGTATCGTGAGCACAAGCTGCATTTTGAGGAGCTATTCTGCTCATCACGCCGAAGATTCTCACCAATTTTTTATGAGACCAACTTACCAACCTTTCAAATAAAATAGAAACTTTTTAACAAAAAATAAAATAAAAACCGACTTCGAAAAAAGCACTAAAAAGTAAAAAATAACTGATTGGTAGTTTTCATTTACTATACATACCTAATCAAACATTTTCGAAGTCGGTGTGCTTTGCTTTGTATAGGCTGGCGCAGAAATTTTAAATGGGACCAATCTAGAAGTATACACTTTTAAACAAAACAAAAATTATCCAAATCGGTTAATAAATGACAGAGTTCTGAGGTAACAAACATAAAAAAAAACATACAGCCGAATTGAGAACCTCCTCCTTTTTGAGGAAGTCGGTTGAAAAAAGAACCATCAAAATTGGATGTCATAAGACGAAGATACACCATTTATACACTATATATATATATATATATATATATATATATATATATATATATATATATATATATATATATATATATAGTCCTGAACAATAAATGTAGATAGACAGACCTAAAAGTACAGAGTTTATATGTAACTTGTTACGCATTATGTATACGTGAAAGCAATAAAACACATTTATGTATATTACAATTTATCTTTAATTTCCGATCCTACAACCCAAGCTTAGTAATATTTTGATACTATTCATAAATTCCTCACAACACATCCTTTGATATAAGTTATTGTAAGAGGATGTCGTGATTTACTACATCGATTTCCGATGTATGACGTCTTCCGAACTTGAGCTTTATCAGACCAAAATATCTAAAAAATATTTGTATTTTTATCATTAATACTAGTGTGCTAGTGCACATGTGTGTTTCTAAAAGAATTAAAATTTCGCAAACATATGTTTTGTTCTAAAATTAACCTTTGCCCACATTGGTCTCTGTATTACCTGTGTTACTCTGTTAATGTGCAATAAAGAATAAATATATATATATATATATATATATATATATATATATATATATATATATATATATATATATATATATAAGTATTAAGTAACGAATATATTTTCTATTTAATATAGGAATTATAGGAATTGTCTTTTAAAATCGTCTTTGAAAATATTCTAATGCACAAAGATTTTTTCAAATCAGATTAGCAGTTTTTGAGATTAGCGCGTTTAAGTAAACAAATAAACAAACTCTATCTCTTTATAATGTTAGTATAGATATGCAGTCAGGCATATATATTTATATACTAAATATTTTTTTAAATTTTATTATATGTCTCTCTAAAAATTATCGCTTTCATAATTAAACTATAACATTCAATATATTCGGGGGTATTATGAAAATTGTTTCTATTTACGGGTGCTTATGTAAATGTTATCAGATTAGTTCTACGAGTACTATTTACAGAAGATTCTGGACAAATGGACTGACAGAATATTATTCTTGCATTTATAAGGGAGACAATGGTAATTCCCAAACAACCTATTTTGATTCTGCTATTATTATGTTTACTTCAGTTATTATTTTGATAATACGTTTCATGTACAAATAAAAGCTCATTAGAGCTTACATAAGTAGAAAGTTTTGTTCTTTATGTAGGTACTTAGTTTTGGTATAAATGCCTTTAAATATACTGGTATTTCATAAATTTATTTTATTTTCTGCTAGAAAAAACGTTAGCGATTTTGTTAATTTGCTATTATAATGCTAATATCTATATCTAAATATAATAAAATTCTGAGTCGAATCTGTACATTATATATTTTTTGGAAAATCTTATTGACATAGTCATTATTATTGATACAGAGGCTGAATCTATAGTTTTTAGATTTTTTTCTGCCTGTGACCGCATCATGAGAAAACCACTATTTTGATGTAATTTAGTATGATAATAGGTGGTTATCGGGGTCAACATATCGGATACTTTTTACTGCGAGAAAATATATTATCTTTGCGAAATTTATACTAAGCATTAAAAAGTATCTATAAGACACAACGCAGTGTAAGGTTTTTTAACTACTCTAACGACTTACCATTGATACCCTTCAGGTTCTTCAAGTTGTAGCGACTATACTGATTTGAATAAAATTTAAAAAACAGATAGACCGGCAGTAACGCATAGGCTGATAACAAATTTTTAAAAAGGTGCTCTCTGTATTACATATTATAAATACAAAAGGTCACTGGCGTACCTGATTGAATCGAGAATTTGCTAATATTACAAATATGTTTGATGATTTGTTATTTGTCCTTCTTTCATGCATTAATAAAATGGACAAGTAATTTTGCAAGCACAGAAATTATAGACCAGAAAAAGCTATAGGATTAGATAGGTTTTTTTTCAATACATTAAGTAGTACCTGACTAACTACTTGACTGTACTAAAATAATAAGGTATCAAAAAGATACATTGAGTGAAACTGTAATCGTAGTATGCTACGATTATCCATCTCTTGCTATGTCAAGTCACTAGTTTCTTATAAATCTTGAAAAACTATAAAAAATAACTTTTGAGTAAATGTAAATCCATTGCAGTAGGAAGCGATAAGCCTTTGAAGTGCCAAGTTTTAGTTCGGACTTAACATTCATTTAAACCTTGCATAACAAAAGAATTCAATTTTCGAGTCACTTTTGTTCAAATCAGATTTGAATTGCAGCAAAATATTTTTTAAGTCACAGTATGATCTTTTGTAGGATTTTTAATCTCATGCGAATTACATATATTCTTATACTTTATAATGTAGCATTGAAACTCGTACTTTTCCAGCGTGGTGGACTATGGCTTGATCACCCTCGTATTGAAGGGAGGCCCGTGCCCAGTAGTGGGACGTTAAAAAGGGCTGAATACATAGCAATAAAAAGCAGCAAGACTCATAAGAAGATTGGATTGAAGTAAATTCTAAAACTACAGATCTAATTCTGAAAATTCTTTTAAAAATTTAGAAACTATACTGATATTATAATTAAAACTTTTGTAGTGGACTGTATTTATTTTTCTTCCTTCGATGTAATAAAACACTTCTTGAGTATAACTTGCTTTTATTTTCCTTTACAATATTTGAACTGAAGAGAACACTTTATTCAACGGTAGTCAACTGAATACTGAATTCTGAACTGAACTGAACTGAATGATTTACATACAAAATGCCCTAATACTTATTCTAGCATTAACACTGGCAATAGGCATACTACTAAACGAGATAATTTCCTTAATTCTAATTGGTTGCTTTATACAATGCAAGAGGGGGGCATCTATTGCGCGTACATGATACTTTGCGTGCACATAGATTTGTTAGAGAGAGACGGACATATGCTACTATCGCCGTCGGGGGCGGTCGTGGTTCGTCGGGCCCGTCGTCACTCGTTGCTCGTCGTCCGTAACAGTTCTCCCCCCGGCGTAGCGCTGCGAGCCTCCTCTTTCACGAGCACGACGAGCTTCGTGACGGGACGCTTGAAGACTCCGGTCTTCGTCTGGATATCCGCTACTCGCACGCCGCCATCAGGTCCCCTGTAGATTTGCTTTACGATTCCCATAGGCCACACGTTGCGTGGCAGGATGTGGTCGACTATGACCACGATGTCTCCTTGCTGTAGCTGCTTGGTGTTGTTTGTCGGCTCGCCGCGAGGAACAAGAGTTGGTAGGTACTCTCGCACCCATCGCTGCCAGAAGTGGTCGGCGAGCGCCTGGCTGGCCCGCCAGGTGCGTCGATCGTCGTCGGTGCATGGCCCAGTGATGGGTAGGCCAGCAGATGATCCCAACAAGAAGTGGTTGGGTGTCAGTGCCTCCGGGTCGTCTGGACTCACGCTAACGTGAGTCAGGGGTCGGGCGTTGATAGAGTACTCCGCTTCGACCAGCAGAGTCCATAGTACTTCCTCCGTCGGCTCCTTTTCCTTTAAGGTGGAGGCTAGTGCGACTTTCACTGACCGCACTAGTCGTTCCCATGCGCCCCCTTGGTTCGGGGCACCTGGAGGTATGTAGCGCCACTCCATACGATGAAGTAGGCCCTCTTCTTTCAGTGCTGGCGCCCACTCGGCGTAGGCGGCCCGTAGCTCGTTGTCGGCGCCTCGGAAATTCGTGGCGTTGTCTGAGTACATAGTGCTCGGCCATCCTCTTCTTGCTGCCATTCTTCGCAATGCCATGATCGCCGAACTCGTAGATAATGATGAAACGATCTCTAGGTGTACGGCGCGCGACGTGAGGCACGTAAACAACGCACCCCATCTCTTCTCTCGACGTCGTCCTATTTTGACCATCATAGGTCCGAAGTAATCCACCCCACAGTGAGTGAAAGGGCGGCGAAATGGTTCGAGGCGAGCGCGGGGCAGGTCTCCCATCGACGGGACCTGGGGCTTCGCTCTTCTTACTCTGCAGAGGGCGCACTCCCTTTCTATGGTGCGCACAGTAGGCCGTAGGTGTATAATCCAATATCGCTGCCTCAGATCGTTGGTCACACGCTCACGGTTAGCGTGACCCGCAGCGCAATGCTCTCGTAGCACTAGAAGCTTAGTAACGCGGTGGCGTCCGTCGAGGATGATGGGTCGCTTCACCTCGAGCGGTGCAGTGGCGTTTCCTATACGGCCTCGCACCCGCAATATTCCCTCCTCTAGCACTGGATCCAGCCGGAACAGTCGGCTCGCCTTGGGAAGTGGATGTGAGGCCTTCATCCGTAGCAGCTCTTCTTGAAAGCTGTCTTTTTGAGCGCGGCGTATGAGTGCGCGCTCGGCCTTTTCGATGTGTCGATGCTCCAGTCCCGTAGCCCGACGCCAACACTTGTCCACGAACACTAACACCCTCGCGGCTGCTCTGACCAGTGTCTCGAACTTGGAGAAGCGCGCAGGATCCGGCAACCACTCGTCACCCTGCTGGTCCTCTGTGGTCACGTGCAGTAGGACCTCCTCCTCTTCTGTCGATCGTTCATCGACCGGCCATAGTTCCTCTGGCTGACGTAGGAATTCTGGTCCCCGGAACCATCGGTCGTCACTGGTGATGCGAGTGTGCGCAAATCGTGTAGCGTCGTCAGCTACATTATCGCTGGTCGGGACCCATCGCCACTCTTCTGGTTGTGTCAGCTCGGCCAACTCTCCGAGCCGGTGCGCGACGAACGGTGTGTACCTCCGCGCGTCGTGCCGTATCCAATGAATGACAGTTGTGGAGTCGGTCCAGTACATTGTCCTCTGGACCTCCACACGATGCTCTTTCTTTATAGTTTCCGCCAGTCTGGCGCCGATGACTGCTGCTTGTAGCTCCAGGCGAGGTATCGTTTGTGTGCGCCTTGGAGCCACCTTCGCCTTGGCGGTCACGAGGCTTATGGCAATTGCTCCATTGGGTCGTGTGACACGCCAATAAGCCACGGCTGAGTAGGCTTGCTCGCTGGCGTCACAAAATACATGTAGCTCCAGGCCCTGGTAGCCCTCCAGGGCGTAGCAGCGTTCCAGTCGCAGACAGGTGAGGTCGGGTAACTGCCGCAGCCACGCTTCAAACATTTCGTTTTCTTCTGCAGGAATTGGTTCATCCCACTCCATCTTCATGCGCCAGAGACTCTGCAGGATGATTTTTGCTCTTATTGTATAGTGGCTGAGCAGTCCCAAGGGGTCATACAAAGACATGACTGCACTGAGCGCCTCTCGCTTGGTAGGCGGACGGGTCTGGGCGCGTACTTCCGCAGGAACTCGGTTCATTGAGGTATTGAACCCCAGCTCGTCCCGTTCGGCGTCCCAGTGCAGGCCAAGTATCTTGTTCTCGGGCCCGTCTCCTCCTAGTCGCGTCGGTGATGTCGCCCGCAGCTGCGTGGGCACGTCGCCAATCACTTCTTTTGCGTTGGCGTTCCATCCACGTAGGGTGAATCCAGCCGCTGCGTGCACCTCCCTGGTTTCCTGGATGGCGTGTCGAGCTTCTTCCGTGGTGTCGTAGCTCGCCACCAAATCGTCCATGTAGTGACTCCTCGTGATGGCTTCCAAGGCACGAGGATGCGTCTGCGCGTGCTCCTGCGCATTGTGATTTCGCACGTAGTGGGCCATGAAGGGTGATCTCGCTGCGCCAAAAATCATGCTCGTCATTTTGTAGTGGCGAGGTGGATTGTCTCGGTCGGCGCCCCTCCACAGGAACTGTTGTGCTGGTTGATCCTCCGGTCTAATCTTCACCTGGAGAAACATCTCCTGTATGTCAGCAGTGATGGCTACTGGTCGCTCCCTGAATCTGAACAGGATGCCTTGAAGCGACGTCAGTAGATCAGGTCCCTCCAGTAGGTAATCGTTGAGGCTGACCCCTCGGCTCTTGGCTGCTGCATCAAATACCAATCTTTGTCTCCCCGGCTTGTTTGGATTCTGCACGGCGAAGTGTGGTAGGTACCAACAGACCGGGCTCGAACGCTCCGTGCCGTTGCATGGCACAGCGTATCCTTTTGCAAGCAGGTTTTCTATATGTTTGGTGTATTCTTTGGCGAAGGCAGGTGCGGCATCCATCTTCTGTTCTATCTTCGTAAGACGGCGAAGTGCTGCGTCGAAACTAGGCGGCATCTTAATGTCGTCTTGTTTCCAGGGCAATCCCACCTGGTATCCACCTTCGACCTTCTTTAAGGTTTGCTCGACGATCTTTGTTGCCCGGGAGTTCACCTCGCTCACCCGTGACTTGTGAGCGATGCCGAGCGCGTCGATCCGAAAATGTTCCTCCACCAGGTCATGAAGGCGTTGATCTTGCTGCTTCTTCAAGCCTCCACCAGGTTCGACAGTGAAGACATGAAGAACGCCATCCTGGTTATGGATTACGCTGCGTGGTGCTGTTCCATGTACCACCCAGCCGAGTTGTGTTCTAGAGGCGGCTGGTTGATTCGGGCCTCCAACTCGTAGTTCCCGGGATACAATATACTCCCAGTGGTCTGTCCCCACCAGGATGCCAGGGTGTGCCTGGTCGTAGCACACTTCCTCTCTTGGCAGATCTCGTAGGTGCTCTTGCTTCAGTAACGCGCTGGGAATGGACTGCTGGTGAAGCTTCATGTTCTTGATCGTTCGTGCTCGAAGCTTGTGTCTCTTTCCATCCTTCCCCTCCAGGTGTACCGTAACCAGCTGACTATCTTCCTCGTGCTGAGTCATGTTGACCCCGTGCATGTGAAGTGGTGTGAGAGGTCCCTTGGCGCCGATTTTCTTTGCCAGCTCCTCGTCGATGAGGGTGATGGTAGCCCCTTCGTCCAGTAGAGCATAGGTCTTCTCCTCCCCCCGTGGCCCGACGACGGTGACTGGGCACATCTTCAGAAGAACCGCTTGAGTTGACACAGTGGCTTTGGTTGCCACCGACAGCACGGCTTCGGTTTCATTTATCAAGGGTTTGGGTGTCTTCTCCTCTCGGTGCAGGGTCGGATGGTGTGGACTGCGACACTCGTTCACACCGCATAGCTTCGCTTTACAATTGCTGCGTCTGTGCTTCTTAGTTATGCACTTGAAGCATAACTTCTTTTAGCGAGAGCCCTTTGTACTTGGGGCACTGTGGCAGTGCGTGAGTCTGCTCACAGCTAGGACATTGGCTGACTTGTTCCTCTTCAGCTTCAGTCACGTTATACACGGCGCTCATCTTCTTCCTCTGGTTCCCGGTGTTCATCGAGGGTCTGGTCTCCCTCCGGGTTGCAGCAGGTGTTGAGACGCTCATAGGTGGGGCATATGCATGCTTCAATGCCCGGTCTGCCTCGCGCATGAGAAAGCGAGACAGCACTACAATCTCTGGTTGTAGTGTAACTTCATGTTCCTCGGCGTAGTCACACCAGCGTGCTCTGATGTGTGGACTCAGTTTGTCCAAGACCTCTCTCGCAAGCATTGGGTTGTAGAGGTAGCTCTGGCGTCCGATGCTGTTCAGGGTGCTGACTACGCTTTGAACCTTCACTGCAAAACTGTTCAGGTCTACTGCTGATGATCCGGGTCTCGGAAGCTTCTTTAATTCCAGGAAGGCTTGATCTATGATGACCTCAGGCCTTCCGAAGCACTGTTCGAGGGTCTTCATCACGACGTCAGGATCTGTAGCGGCATGTAACAGGCCGGCTACGACGTTTCTTGCTTCTCCCCGCAGGCAGCTCCTCAGTCTCTGCAGGTTCTCGTTCGCTGATATCTGGTATATCCTCGTAGAGTCTTGATAGGCTACTCTGAACGACAGCCACTCGTTGGCTATTCCAGAAAAGATCGGTAGGTCAGCGCATCTTATTCTGGGTCTAGCCATCTTCTCTAGGGCTTCAGCCAAATGCTCAATCCCTGGTTTCCTTCTGGTCAGAGTGGGTGATCTTCCTCTAACGTTGAACCGGAGGTGTTGTTCCCCTCCCCTCCTTCTCTGCTCCTCCTCCTCCCCCCGTGCACTGACGGGGTTGGTGCGGAGCCATGTGTCCACCTTCTGTTGGTGGTCGAGGTTCTCTTCATGCAGGCTCTCCTGCTCCTCTTGGATATTGGTGATGTCTGCAGCCAGTCGCTTTCTGACGAGTTCAGCTTCGATCTCCAATTCCTTCTTCCTCAGGGCTGCAAGCTTCTCTGCAGCTTCAAGTTCTGCCAGCCGTACTCTAGCAGCCACGCTTGCCGTCGATCGCACTGAATGCCCTGGTGACCTGGTTCGGGGTCGGTCTCCAGTCTTCAAGGGTCTGTAGGCAGCAGAGGTTGTGGGGGCAGAGGCGTCGTTCGTAGCCCCTAGCCCAACCTCCGTATCCATGGGCGTGGTTGGTGATGCTGGTGGATTCAGAGACAGTCTTCGTCTTCGCTCCAGTTCAATTTGTTCAGCTCCCTGGCTCCAATCTTCCACACGGGGTTGACCTTCCAGGTGTTGCTGTTCTTCCATGTGCTGCTGATCTTCCAAGCGTTGCTGTTCCCCTGGGCGGCGCAGATCCTCTGGGCGACGTAGATCCTCTGGGCGGCGCAGGTCCTCTGGGCGGCGCAGGTCTGGACGACGCTGATCTAGGCGGCGGGGGGTGCCAGGGCGGCGCGGCTCCTCTGAGCGGTGCGGCTCCTCTGGGCGGCGCTGGGCGTCCATCTCGGCAGCGTCTCCTTGGCTCCTGGTGATGACCATTCTTCAATACTGGATTAATCTTCTATCCGGCTCGGAGGGCCAGCTTGTAGTGGACTGTATTTATTTTTCTTCCTTCGATGTAATAAAACACTTCTTGAGTATAACTTGCTTTTATTTTCCTTTACAATATTTGAACTGAAGAGAACACTTTATTCAACGGTAGTCAACTGAATACTGAATTCTGAACTGAACTGAACTGAATGATTTACATACAAAATGCCCTAATACTTATTCTAGCATTAACACTGGCAATAGGCATACTACTAAACGAGATAAGATAATTTCCTTAATTCTAATTGGTTGCTTTATACAATGCAAGAGGGGGGCATCTATTGCGCGTACATGATACTTTGCGTGCACATAGATTTGTTAGAGAGAGACGGACATATGCTACTATCGCCGTCGGGGGCGGTCGTGGTTCGTCGGGCCCGTCGTCACTCGTTGCTCGTCGTCCGTAACAACTTTTATTATAAAGTTATTGGAATCAGTAAACATCATACATATTTGCTCGTTACGTTATCACTTTGTTTTTCACTTCTTATCTTTTGACTTTTGACTATTTTTCTGGAAAGTTTTCTATTTTTTGTGCATTTAAGACAATCGCTCATTCTTGTTCTACTAATATTATAAATACGAAAGTTTGTGAGGATGTATGGATGACTGGATGAATAGATGTATGGATGTTCGTTACTCTTACACGCAAAAACTACTGAATGGATTTTAATGAAACCTTACAATAATAGAACTCATGGACCAGAATTTTGCATGCACTTTTTATCCAGGAAAAATGTACAGTTCCCATGAGGCATTTTTCATTTGAGTCAAAAAAACAAAAAGTGGTTTTTAAATCGATATTAGGCATATCGATTAGTGCTACATACCAGTTTTCATACTCTTTTTCAATAAAAACATAATATCTCTTTTTCTAAATGGCATTGCAGATGAACGTTATTTTTTTAGAACATGAAAAATTGTGTCTGAGTGGCTTTAAAAATTCATTTTTCACCTAACTTTTGAATTTCGTTGGAGTAACTGAGCTTATATAAAGTGAATTGAAAAGATCTGCAAACATAAAGTTTATAAACTGCATACATCAGTACCCAGTTTTTACAGAACAAACTTGGCATAGTTATGCAAAGTACAGTATAAGTGAAGCAAGTTGAAGCAATTAGAGAATAATTTTTGTACTTAAACCAGTTTTTACGGTGTAAGACTATCTTACATTGTAAAAACTTCTTAGTTTTTGTTATGTTTTTGTTTACAAAGTTTTAAGTTTTTGCTTTGATAAGGATATTGGATTAATATAGCTGCAGGGATCGAATATTCAATAATATGTATACATATTATATAATAGATCTAGGCTATATTCACTACTATATTTTCTCGCGGCGCCGCCTGCATCGTCCCATTATATTATTATATCTTTATAAATAGCCTTAGATGTATTACTCTAATGTGTAAGCTATATTACAATAAAGTTTCATTAAAATATGCTCAGTAGTTTTTATGTGATAAAGTAAAAAACATACACCCGTTCATCCTCATTTACTTTCGCGTTTATAGTAGGTAGGATTTGTAACATTCCGTTTCCATTGTTAGATCAAGTTCTCGAATTCCGATGAGTCGACACTTCGACACGACCCTTGAGAGTTAAGGCGCAGGACCGATGGTTTTACGTGCTCTCCGAGGCACGGAGGTGAAATACCGCTGTTCGTCGCTGTCCGCTACTACTGAGAATTCTTTGACAGAAAATATCATTAATTGTACTTAGCCCAACCTGGAATTCAAACCTAGGACCTCCAGATCTACAGGCGTACATGCTTTCCACTTAACCATTGAGGCAGTTAGTAATGTATTATATGTACGTTACATAAATAATATATAGACTTTTAGGCGAATTGAATGAGGCAGTGTTTGAAAAATTAATTACATTATTATTTTGAACCGCTTAAATAAACAGTGAATTAATATTCAAACACAATTAATTAAATAAAAGCTTGTAAAGTAAAATTTAATTGAATATATTTTATTAAATAGTGATATTTATTATATATATATATATATATATATATATATATATATATATATATATATATATATATATATATGTTTTTTGTGAAAGTGTATGAAAAAATTGGCCCCAATTATTTCTACTTTATTTTAATAAATCTAAAAGTCATGACGGTAATATGAGCTTGCGTTAAGATAGATTGCTATAATCTGTCAACGAGCCTTGTTTTATATAACGGTAATAATATTTAGTTATATCCCTAAGAACTAAAATTATCATTTTGTTTTTATTTTTAATATATTATGTTATCAATATTTTGCGTTATTTTAACGGGAGCGATATAATAAAAATTCAAATGAAATGAATAGTCGCAAAGGCATATGTGATAAGTAAATTCTGTCTTTTTTATGTTCATAAATACGTTTTAACGTTTAGTATAGATCTCTCAGAGGTGTGATATTTTAGCAAAATCTAAAATTTTATCAAAATCTGTCCAGTCGTTTTTTCGTGATGCGGTAACAGATAGATAGACAGACAGACAGACAAACAAACGAAAATTCTAAAAACTATAGATTCGGCCTCTGTATCGATAATAATGTCTTCAATAAGATTTTGCAAAAAATATATAATGTACAGATTCGGCTCAGTTAGAATTTTCTTATATGTATAGATAAGGATTTTCTGAAAATCTTTGACACTAACGGTTTCAAAATGCGCGATACCGACTGATGCAAGTTAGGTCGAAAATAAACATTATTATTACTGCATTTAGCATTCTCATCTAAAAAAACTACATTTAAAAGGGCGGAATATCAAAACTTTTAATGAAATACTCACGTACAGCACAAGCCAACGACCCACAGTGGAAAATACTATGTAAATACACCGTTGATAAACTTATACAACTTTACAAATATTTGCTGCGAACGGACATGGACAAAATAAATAAAGCATTTCAAATTCAAATGAAACCATTATTTTTTTATTATTTGCTATCTATCTCTTAGAGATATTATATTTGTATAAAGAAGATGGTTACTGTATTTTTTTCTTCGAATTAACATTATTTTGATATGAATAATAATAAATAAATGATAAATATGTTAGGACATTAACACGCAGCACCATCTAGTACACCATGGTAAGCTACGAGGCTTGTGTTATGGATACCAGATAGCTGATACACTACATATATGTATATAACTTTAAATACTGGATTACAAATATTCGTGCTCATCGCACAAATAAATGCCCCCAGAGGGACTTGAACCCGGGACCGCTGGCACATCAAGTAGGGTCATAATGAATGACCCCGAAGATTATGTACTTTGACAAATCTAGAGAAAAAAAATATCACTGAAAGATTTAATGATGCCTAGACCAAACCACTTGACCAAAAGGTTTATATGCATTACCACCAGTAAGAAAAGTTTTTTCGATATTTAATATCTAAGAGGTTCATAAAATTTATTTGGAAAAAAATACTTTTAGCATTATAAATTGAAATAAACCCTATTTATTGAGAAAGGTTACCTAATGATGGAACCCTTGAGAGAAGATATGTTAGCTATTGTATTTAGCACTTTTTAAATTTCCACTGCTGGACACGAGAAAGGCCCGAGGAGTTCATGACTAGGGGAATAAGGCCATAGTCCACCACGCTGGCTAAGTGAGGCTTGGCGGATTCATGTCTTTTTAAAATTTGCTAAGTTCTCTCAGACAAGCAGGTTTCTTTACGATGATACGCCTCACCGTAAAGCAAATGGTAATCATGTTGAAAATGATTCGCACATGAAAATATCAGAGGTACGAAGCCCGAGTTTGAACCTGCTTCACTTGGTTTCCCAAACGAGCGCTGCGCGACCACTGCCTTACGACAACGAACTTGAAGGTAATTGATAACTCTACTTACGTATATTATTTAATTTAGTTAAATAGTGAATAAAGCTTCTATCATAAAGCTTATATCCATTTATGACACGGTCATAAGTTAAGATAATACTATAACGACTCACATTATTAAATGTTTATAGACAGTAATAAGATTCGCTGAAGTATAAAGGGGCATTCATACGCACTTTTAATTCGATTTTTATGAGTGTATGTATGTATTTTTAGCACTGTTTATACCTTGATGCCTGGAGATGCATTCAAAAGTAGATTAAAAAAATTGTTTTAATATTATTGGTAATAATTTTTTTAGTTTCCTAAAAGCTGTAAAGTAGAATTTCATCATTTGTGATATAGTTAATTTCTACATATAAAATATCGTAGATTCACTGACTTATTCAGTATGAACTGTTGAGTACAAAAACATTTTAAGTAAAAAAAATTAAAAGTTCGTTTATTTTTAAGCTAAATATGGTAATTTTGAAGTTATAAGGAAATTGATGTTAAAGCTCCTGTTTATATTACCGAAGTTAGATCTCATCGAGCTTACTGTTTGTTTTAAATATATTTCAAATTATCCGATATTATTTTGCATCATTGTACAATGCTCATTGGTTGTAGTGTCTCAAAATTTGATAAGTATGTACATAAGTACGTATATCTATAGTATACATACACATAGTGTTCAAAATGTGTTTGTTCATAACACATAAATCGATATTAATAAAAAGATTTACACTCCCACTCGTGTTGTACTTATTTCTACTATTCTGATATTATGATTTCGTTATATTATATTTGATTCTTTAATTTTTTTATTTTTGAACCGATTGAAATAACACAAACAATAAAAGTTAAGTGTTGCTTACCAAACTATATTAGTGAAAACCGCACTCAAATCGGTTACGCTGTTTCTAAGATTCGCGCGTACAAACGCACAGACAAACCGAAGTATGGATGAATGGATGTTTGTTACTGTATCACGCCAGAACAGCTGAACGAATCTATATGAAATTTGGCACAGAGATAGATTGTAGTCTGGAATAACATATAGGTTACTTTTTATCCCATAAAATATACGGCTCCCGTAGGATAGGTT